CCACTCTTAACAGTATAGCCACACCAATTATTCATTATTGCATTAATGAATTTTATTGTAGCATTGAGATCGGGTAATCCTTTAGCTCTGGTCTTAAAGCCAAAGAGTAATAATGCATTTTCTCGAATTTTAACGATTTTTTCCCGTGATTGTTCAAACATCTTAGCTACATCATCACCAGAAAGAATACTCATATCATCTATATCTCTAAAGCCTATTGATTGGACAAGATTATGTACTGCTTCCCACTGCTTTGCCGAATAAAATTTATGCAAATCAACTGAGGACGGATCCATAGATTCATGTGAATCTTCCCACTGCGTTTCTTCTTTGATTTTTAGATTTTCTATAGAATTTATCGCGTTAGAACCTTGTCTTCTGAAATAGGCCAGCCTCCTAAAATGTTGTAAAGGTTCAGGATTATTATATCTTTTTACGAAATCTATGTCACATAGCTTAACCCAATCATCATTATTCATACCCCAGTCTCGAATGTCATCCTTGCCACCAATATCACCTGAAGCATATGTTCTCCATAAATAATGACGTTGTAAAGCCATGTTATCGGCAAAAGAGCGTATAGGATTTTGCTTAAGAATTTCAGCTTCATTGGGACTAATATCTGGAGCATTTGCTATTGATTCTGCATCTGCACCTTTAATTTTTTTCTCGGTATTTTTAATTGTATGAGAAATTCTATTCCTGTTGACTTTTTCAGTATCTTCCACTAAAATTAATTCAAGTGTTGCTCCAGTACTAGCAATGAGACTGCAAAGAATCTCAGGAAAATATTTGGCTGATAAGCGTCTCTGATATTCAACTTCAATATAAGTTTCTACCGCTGGAGATAAATTAAGTGCATAACAATCAGTAATTTTATCCCATGCACGCTGGCCTTTTATTATTGTTGGTAAGTCTCCAGGTCTTAATGCTGAAAGTTCAGCCCGAATGAGTTCTCGACACGGTTCTTTGAAAATATCGAATTTTTTGTTATGATAAAGGGAAACCATACGTAATGGGCAGTCACGGATTCTGAACAACATCTGAGCAAATGCTTCAACATGGACAGGAGTAGCGATATTAGTAATTCCTATAACTGCATCAAAATAACCAGATATTTCAAAGGAGATGCCAGCTTCCACGGTGCTTGTATAAATTACACAGTCAAGAGCACTCCAGGTGGCATCAATATTAGCAAAATCATCTTGACGTTGTTTCCCATCCATTTGACCAAAATAAACCCGGGATAAAATAAATGAACCATCAGGTTTTCGCAACTTAGATGTTTGATCAGCCAAGGCTCGGGCTTTTTTACAGCTAGTCATAACAAATGCAACATGCTTACCTTCTTGAAGCATCTTAAAACCTCTACGTATACCTTCTGAACCTTTATCCGGATCGTAAAGAAATTTAACAACCTCCCCTTTACGCGGTTGATATTTGTTGTCAATAACCCGAACATTCTCACCTCGATAGGATTTTAAGAAAGCTAAAGTTGAGTCATTTGCAAAAGCATCCATAGCAACAACATGAGTGGCTACATTTAACAAATCGTGCATGGCATTGGCAGATTCTCGAGCATGAACTCCACTAGCCATTTGACGCATAGTGGCATTTGCTTCATCTAAAATTGCTATACAAGAACGGCTCCCTTGAAAATCAAGACGGAGAATACTTTCAACCTGTACAATAATAAGGTCCCAATCACGCGTCTTTAAGTCAGCCACAATATTCTGATATTGCCCTACTCTGAAATCGAATTTTTCCAATTCTTTAAGTTTAGCTTCGGATTCATTGCTAAGGGTTTTACGATATGAAACCCATATAGTACAAGGTAAATTGGCACTATTTTGAGCTAGAGATGCCAAAATTTTTCTTAGTGTTTTCGTTTTTCCAGTACCCACAGTAGAGCGAATAAGAGTGGTGCTAGGCTCTTCACTTAAGAAGTCTGGAAAAGTATCTAAGGCGTCCTCCATTTCTTTTACATTAATACTTTTTCCAGGTAATTCGGGAAATTGACGTGGAGTTGATAGAGCCTTGGGTAATCTTTCACATAATATCCACTTTTTAGGCTTTACTTCTGATTCGACTTTGTCTGATACCTTACCAAAGCTCAGCCCCTTATGCTCCGGCTTATATTGTTTTTGGCGATAGCATTTAAGTACGAAATCTCCATTTTTTCGAATAAATCCATAGAGTTGATCCTTATCATGTTTAACGTCACATATAGGGCACTCTTTTATCGATTGTGATTGAAAGTTAACAAACCCTTTCTCGATTCTTCCAATCTGGAGCCATCCGTATTTTTCAATAACTAAATTAGCACCTTTATTCAAAGCGTTTTCATCATCGATAGGTCGGGATTCTTCTTTTACTGGCTCCTCAGAAGAAAAGGTTCGTGGCCAGATCACGGAATAATCCGATTTTGGTTGAACCAAATAATCTTCTAATGTTTGAAATCCATTATTAACGGAGGCAATAGCTGGTCTTTTGATACGTCCTTCTTTTGCCGATCCCAGAAGCCGAAGATTAAAATGCGTTTTGTAAAGTCCAATATCAATAAATTTGGAATAGGGTTCTCCAACTGATTCAATGACTTTTTCCACAAAACCTTTAAGGTCTCGATAATCAATAAATCGGGCACGAGGATAAATAATATGCCAACTACATTTCTCAGCATTTGATGAACTAGCTAAGGCAAAAGAATTTAATGATACCATGCAACCCAATGCGGAATATAATGTATCTGCACAAGCGACTAAAATTCGAGATATCAATTCTTCTCGGTTAATTTTTTCACTATCTAAAGAAGCGTGTTTAGGATTATTTGGATCAGGTTTTTGTCTTGCATCAATATCAATAATTAAGCGTAGGGGTTGGTTCCCGTCAATACATTCGTGGGTATCAGGTATTCTATAAACTTCAGAGGGATGATCGATCGCTGTATAACCTTTTCCCGCCATCCGAATTATATATTGAGAATGAATCTCTTCAGGTCGATATGCATCTAAAAGCGCAATATTATTTTTATCAGTATGGCCATTTGATGCAAGCCAGTATTTATAAAATGTATGTTCTTTATGACCGGGTTTATAGTCAAGATCCGTTAAACCCATAAAAAGCCTTTTTGCTTCACTAGACAAACTCATTTTATTGATTTGTATATATGCGTTGTTTGTATATGCGTGTTGTTTGATCTGTCAAAAAGTATATAATGCGTCGATTTATCAACTTATAATAAAAGCGACATAAAAAGTTTAATTCGAAAAATAATTATTTCATATAAGCGTAATTTGAAAGTTATTGTTATTAGTGATGGCATTCTATTCTTGCCCACATATTTATATTGATGGTCGAATTTGTGGAAAAGGTTGTTACCGACAAGAGGGTTGTGCTCTTCATTGGAAAATGCGATTACGTAATCCTTGTAAAGAGTGTGGTATACCAACTGCTTCTATATACGGTATGTGTGTTAAACATGCTGGAAAATATCGCAACAAATCAAACTATCATAAAAAAAGGCAGGCCGAATTACTTAAAAAAATACCTTAATATATTACTATATATTGTTTTTCTGACTTACCCAATTCTATGCACGAAGTATAATCATATACCTGACGTACGTGTATATTGATTCTAAAATCTTCGATCTATTCCGTGTCTTGTTCGTGTCCATTTTCTGATAGAGTTACAATAACCACGACCCATTTAATTTTTGATATAGCAACACTAATCCACGGATAATTAATTTCGATTTGAAAAAATATTTTCTTTAGCGTATATAACCTAAAGAATCGTTCATAACCTACTCAACCTACTATAACACTCAATCATGTCAGCTATCGTAACTAAAATCGTTGAAAAATACAATCTCAACCCCAAGATGGGTGTGTCCGAACTCAGTCAATACACCTCAGAATTTCTTGAAAACCTTACCGATGATAGAAAGCGGAATCAAGCACGAAGACGCCTTCGAGATGGTTTCAAATTCAGCGATGAAAAGATACGCATATTGATTCCTACCCAAAAAGGTGGCAGGCGAAAAGACGTAAATCTCGTAACTCTGGACAAGGCCTCGATGAAGTCGGACTCGCAGAGCGAGGACACTTACGCGCCAGAAACCATCAAAGAGTTAGCACAACGAATTTTACGAGACAAACTTAGTGAAAAGGATGTGAAATCCGAATCACATAAGTTGGCTACATCGGCATTGAATGAAAATGCTGGGTCTTCTAGGCTATCTCGGCTTCGACGAGAATTACGAAACCTTAATGCTCCCTATAATATAGTTGAAGCGACAAAATTTTCTGAGATTACCGAGAAAGCTAACAAAATTCAAAAAAATCGGCGAAAAATTGCTGAGGATTTCGAAAAAATCGATTATCCAGATCATTTTACATTAGAATCGGTTAAGGAAAGATTGGATAAGTATAATATTAAGACGTTCCCTGGTTTGCAAGCTCTCGCAGATGTTATGATAATGCTTTGTATGCGCCCAGCTGAAGTTGTAACTTTACGCATCACAGATGCCGGTGTAACGGGTTATGCAAAGAACAGGGGTCAGCCAGATATTCCTAGAAAATTTAAATCTATGGAAAAGAATCAAGAACGAGCCAAAGAATTACTAACCTGGATACAGAATGCTATATCTTCTGGCCAAATGGGTAACCCAGGTAAGCCAGGGGTTAAATGGTTTAATAGATTCTTAAAAGGTTATAATTTAATTCCTCGCCATTTGCGTAAAATAGGGGCTATATATGCTGTGGTGGTACATGGGGCAAAGAATTTAGCTCATGCTATGACAATCGCTGGAGAAGCCTTGCGCCACAATTGTGACAATCACACCTCACCAGTACAGAATTATGTTGTAGTAAATTATCGGAAAAAAGGACAGACTCCAGAGCAAGCAAGACCATTCTATCTCTATGATAAAGACTAACTACGCTTCTTTGCTTTCACCACTTTCACAGTAAAATCTTTATCATCATTGCCGGAGACAGTCACTTCGTGGCTAGACGATTCAAACTCAGACCCAGATTCAGATGTGGATGAGGACTCAGATGCGGTATCGTTAGCGGAGCAAGTACCAAGGGTGCTAAAAATTGGTTTTTTCTTAGCTTTGCATGGAATATGTTGCCGAGAAATATTTGGGTTTGCTATCGCGTTTATAATATCCTGCTGAATCTCGGGTTTTACTATCTCCAGTAATTGGTGAAGAGAAATCCGGATTTTTTTATCCAATACTTGCCTACGAATACTGGATATTACTCCAATAGTATTCTGTTGCTCTGTTAAAGACTTGGTTACTGTTTCGATACATTCACGTAATTCTTGAGACAAGATAGCATTGGTCATGTCAGCTCTGCTGATATTATCTTTAATAATTGCTTCGTTTATAACAGACTTGATATTAGCTTCAGTCATTGTAAATGCGAATAATATTATTTATTAATACGAATTTAAAAATGCAGAATTAAATATATTGTTATAATAAAACGTCATGATGATAACTTTAACCTGCGAAATCAATAAAGTACCAGTAACAGTTGTATTAGATTCCGGTGCTAATTGTGTGATTATCTGATATATTTATATTTTAAAACCGCCAATTATTTTCGCTATATAAGAATCAAACTATACCCCATCGGGTAATGGATCCTCGGCCTTCAATCCGCGACGTGCTCGCCTTAGATCTAAGAAAAATAACCCATTATTAATCTATTTTTTAACCCGCATAGTTAAATACAGAATAACTTACCGATATGTCCTCTCCTACAATCAGTGGATGACGGCGGAACTCGAATCTGATTGGCTTTCGGCTTTTCGAGTTTGATTATGCAGTTTAATCCATTTGCATTGTTCAAGTCTTGTCGAGGAATTGTAGGAACAATTGATCCATTCACATCCCGCTCAATTCCATTCTCAAGATCACTATAGACCGAAGAAAAATCACGTATATTATGGAAGAAGGTACTATGGACGAAATATACGACGCTGTGTCGAATACCACTCGTGATTGGAAGATTACCATGTAACAAGAAACGCGATGAGAATGCCACAAGCTGTCCTGGCCTTAGCGGAATTACGATCTGAAGCTGTGGAAAACAAAGTTCACCTCCCTCGAAATCACCCAATGCGACCAAGCAACATAAGGAATTTGGTTCGTCATTCTCATCCCAGTGGTAATCACTAATCGTGTTAAAATTGATTGCGATCATGGAAAAAATGTTGAACGGTCGAGGTCCAAACGGCCCCCATTTTAATTTGGATAGTTTCTCATATAACCCCGCATAATTACATTGAATAAAATCATTGACGCAATCTGACAACGGCTTTAGAGAGTGAAGGAGATCATTAACACATTCGCGATGGTTGGCGTTATGGGAGCTTGCGGTGTTTGAGCTGGTGAAAGGAAGAAGATTATTTCGCGTGTATACTCCAAAGTGTTCAATGAAGTTCGTCCAAAATTCATTGCTACGATGTGATGGGTTATTTAGTGTATGAAGATAGTAGCGATTGACAGCATTTACAGCTTCTGTGATCGCAGATGGATTATCTAACTTTTCAAGATGTAATAAGGTTCTATTTCCACTATCAACGACACACTCTGGTTCCACTATATATCGAAATCGCACGAGTCTTTCCAGTGATCGAAAATCGCTACGTGCTGATATAATTAATTGCGTTCTCCTTTTTCGGTTGATATTCGTGGTTGAAAAATTTACGTTATTTCGCAAGTCTAGGGCATGTCTAAGTTTTCTCCACTTATGTTTAAGATGTCGTCGCACCTCTCTTCGCTTTATTGGCTCTTT